TCTCCTGCCCTAGACGGCCACCTTCCTGTGCCTAGTGCGGAGATCGTGGACGAGGTCCACGATGTCCGCAGTAGCCCAGGCGGGCGCCCGCCTCTTGCGGTCCTGGGCAAGCTCCCGGGAGCCGCCAGCCTGGTCCCGGGAAGAGGGGGAGGGCAGGGGGCATCAGGTGGCTGGTGTCAGGTGCAGGGTCTGCTGGCTGGGTGCTGACAGGCTTGCACCTGGCACGGGCACCGTAGCCAGCCCATGCCTCTTTAAGGGCTCCGGGGCCGGGAGGGGGGCATACGAGTTTCCCTGGTGGTACCCAGAGTGGCCACCAGGGAAAGCTGGGGAGGGCTAGCCTTCCACTAGTTCGAATTAAGGGTCTACACAGCCCTTAATTCGAACTAGTAAGTTCGAACTAGGCTTAGTCCTCGTGGAATGAGGATTACCTAGTTCAAACTAAGCGCTCCGCTAGTTCGAATTAAGTTCGAACTAGCGGAGCACTAGTGTAGTGCCTATCAAAGTTAATTCGAACTAACGTCCGTTAGTTCGAATTAACTTTGTAGTGTAGACATACCCTAAGATGCCTACTCTTTGTAATATAGTGGGACAGAATGGCAGACAAACATTTAATGGGAAGCTCAATGATGTAAGTACTTTAAGGGTATGTCTAGACTACATGGCTCCGTCGACGGAGCCATGTAAACTAGTTTATCCGGCATAGGCAAAGAAGCGGGGATTTAAATAATCACCACTTCATTAAAATAAACATGACCACCGCGCTGTGCCGACGATCAGCTGATCCGTCACAGCGCGGTAGTCTAGACGTGGATTGGTTGGCTGGGAAAACCTTTGCCGACCGATCCTGTCTAGACTTCCCCAGCTGACCGATCTGCATCTAGACTACCACGCTGTGCCAGGTCAGCTGATCATCAGCACAGCACGGCGGCCATGTTTATTTTAATTAAGTGGGGATTATTTAAATCCCCACTTCTTTGCCTATGCTGGGTAAACTAGTATACATGGCTCCGTCGATGGAGCCATGTAGTCTAGACATACCCTGATAGTCCCAAAGTCTTAGATTAAAATCTGTTTAAGTTTTTGGAGTGGACCATTTGATGAAAGGAAGTTGGGCTTGTCCAAACATAAAGAGACTGTGACAGAAAAGAGAAAATATGAAATGAAAAATTATGATTATATATTCATGGAAATATTTTAACTTTAACTATAGTCAATAATCTATAATGTAGATCCTGTTCTCTCATTTGAGTCAGAATAAATTCTTAAAAGAAAGATGAAAAAAACTTAGCCAGATGACAGATAACTATTATACAGGGATTGCAGGAAAGAAAAAAATAAAAATAATGGGGAGAGGAATTTACATTTGAATGGCATGAGAGGTGGTGAAGCTCTGATGCCCATATTATTCCCTTCCCCCTCTCCAACAAAAAAAGCTTTAGCTATGTACATTTTCATTTTGTGATAACTGAATAAATTGACAATTGAGTAAATGTAAAAGTGAATAATGTGTAACTTTTAAGAAGTGCTGATAATGCTGTCTGTTGAATAAGTCTGTTTTGACTTGCTTTCTGGCCTGTAAACAACTGATAACATACTGCAATTCTGATTTTTGCAGTTGGATGAAGAAACCTCGCTGTGGCGTGCCTGACCAGAGAAGAGGGAGCTCCAAATTTAATATTCGTAGAAAACGATATGCTTTAACAGGACAGAAGTGGCAACACAAACATATCACTTACAGGTACAAAAAAAATCAATAAAGCTTTCAGTGATATCACTGAGCATTTATTAAAAGAAAACAAATGTTTGTAAGACACGGTTTTCTAAATGTGTACTGCACATGGTCAAGATGTTGATGTGTAGTATAGAAATATTGAAAATGAGTAGTGCAGTAACATCTTAGGGCAGCGTTTCCCAAACTATGGTCCGCGGCCCGGTAACGTTTCCCAAACCCTGGTGGCTGCTGGCCCTTAGGCCGGTTGACCCATCTCGTCAAATTGGACCCCTGCACCCGGAAGTGCCGGCGAGTTAAGAGCCGGGCCCTGCTCCAGCGCTATGTGGAGCTGGGTCTCTCCCCGGCTCTGCCTGGAGCGGGCCCCCCCCCCCC